CTGTTTCTTAAAACAGATTCATGGCTAGTTTGGATCTGTTGGGCTGATTGCTGTATGAACCTTCACCCTCTTCTCAACCTTTTAAATTTTTAGTCTCATGTATTTACAGTTTAGATATTTTAACCTGGGGAAATATGTATGAGCCACACCTACAGTTTTGTTAATTACTTTATAATCAGTACCTTAAAACCCTTGAAAACAGATTCCTAAAACAAGGCATATCACTTGTATTCAGTGGCAATAATAATTTTCTAATATTTTCTTCTAAAGATTAATGGCAAATATTGGCTCCAGTATATTGCACATAAAAGTAATTGGGCAATTATCTTTTTTGAAATTTTGATTTCTAATTTAAAAAATAAAAAAGTTTGATTAAAAAGCTTATTATAAGTAGAATTTACATTTTACTCTAGGTGTAAATTACGAGCCAGTAGCTAAGTTTTGGTTTTGATAGTGATTTTTTTAAAGCTTTTTCATTTTTATGTTAAATTATTTTACCTAAACAGAAATGTCCGGTTTGAGTATATGCATGCTGTCACCCCAATACCTCATAATCATTCATATCCTGGGAGAGAGAGTGGCAGAATTAGTGTGACTCAGACTTGATTCTTCAGGGGAGTGGTCTAACCTCTCTCCTGAATTAACCTGCTACGTTTTAAAAATGTGGACTCTCAGGCCTCAACATAGAACTACGACCTCGGAATTTCTAGGGGTTCCTTTCACAGTCTGTACTCTTTCTTTTAAACTTGGTAATGAATCCTACACATGACTAGATTGGGGAATGAGTCTAGGTCTCTAGTTCCCAGTCTCACCAAAAAGAACACCTCCTGTCAGTGTAATTTACTGCATGTTGAGAGCTTAATCATGGGCCAGAGGATCGTTCCATTTAACAAATGTTCATTAAGTGTGTATTGCGTCCAAGGCATTGCGACACGCATTGTGTCCAAGGAATTTACAAAGATGCATAGCATATAGATAATACCATTAATGCCCTCAAAATGCTTTTGGCTAACTGGGTGTATGAGTCTACATTGTGATGACTTGAGTTCTTCAAGGATCATCATGCAATTCTTAATTATAGTATTGATACACTATAATTTGTAGTGATGCTTAAAAAATTCCTATTTGCATGTGGTTTTAGGAGCCATACTGGGTCTTTGTGTTTCGAGTTGGCTGCTTCTGTCTGGGCTTTACCATCTTTCACGTGTTAAATTTGTGTAGCACATGTTCTTAACACTGTCATAATCATGCTACTGGGCAAGCAAATTCCGTGAGGAATTAGCATATTTAGTAGGTTTAGGTTATTTTGTTTTGTAGTGAATGGAAGAGCACTGTTTAAACATCTTTATTCCATACCTGGAGAAGTTGTTTTGTGGAGATGTGTTGGCTTTGTGTATTGATAATGAATGATCGTTTTCAGGTTTCAGTGTTTATGATCTTGGAAGTTCCTGTTCAGCTTTGTGCTTTTGCGTCACTAGGTGGAGATGTAGCATTGTTTGGCGGCGTAGGCAAAGCAAGAGGAGTGAGTCTTGATTTCTCTTCTTTGGACAAATGTACTTCACAGACATTTGATGAGGTTTATTATAGCCTAGGAAAGCACTCGTAAATTTAATATAATTCAAAATTTTTAACTTCGTTTTTCTTTTCAGGGTTGAAATTCGGTCCTACTTAAGTGTTTATTTTCATACTGATCAAAAGTGTCCATTTTCATACTGATCAACTCTTTTAAACATTTTTTTTCTCCTCTTACTGCTGTTTCCTTTTTTGTGGTCCTTCATTATTTCACCTTATCTGAGTTATTGTAATGTGTCTATCTTTGGTTCTTTCTAGGGATTTCATTCTAAAAGTTTAGTAAAGGAATCAGAATTCTTACTCTGAGGTCAAATAATAGATAAAATTTTAATTTGGTATGAAGTCAGTGAACCAAAAAATACAGTCTGAGCATACCCTAATCTTATCTTTGTATTATTTTAGGTTAATGATGTCCATTTTTAACATTAATATTCTTTAGGGCTTACTTTTCCCCCTTTCCTTCCTTCCTTCTTTCTCACACCTCTTAAATATTAAGCAAGCACAGTATCTATTTTATGCACAGTATTGATGTGGAAAATATAAAGGAAATAAGAGGCTGTCTCCAAAGAGCTGATAATCCTGTTGAGAACATTGCAAATGTGCCCATGAAGCAGCAGTTTTTTACTCCTAGGTATATACCCAAGAGAAATGAAGGCATATGTTCACACAAGCATCTGGACATGAAGGTTCATAGCAGCACTATTAATAATAGCCAAAAAGTGGAAACAACCCAGCTGTCTACCCGCTGATATATGGATAAAGAAAATATGGTATATTAGGCTGGGCATAGTGGCTCATGCCTGTAATCCAAGCACTTTGGAGGCCAAGGCGGGCGGATCACCTGAGGTCAGGAGTTCAAGAAAATATGGTATACTTGTACAATGGAATATGATATAGCAATAAAAAGAAATCAGGTCCTGATACATGCTAAGATGTAGATGATGCTTGAAAACGTGCTGATGAAAGAAGCCAGTCACAAAAGACCACATCATATCCGTTTATATAAAATGTCCAGAATAGCAAATCTATGAAGTAGATCCATGATTGCCTAGGGCTAGGTGGAGGGGAGTAACTGCTAATGGGTTTGGATCTCCTTTTTGTAGTGATGAAAATATAAACTTGACTATAGTGATTGATGTACAGCTCTGACTATATACTAAAAACCACTGAGGGCCAGGCGTGGTGGCTCACGCCTATAATCCCAGCACTTCGGGAGGCTGAGGTGGGAAGATCCTGAGGTCAGGAGATCAAGACCATACTGGCCATGGTGAAACCCCATCTCTACTAAAAATACAAAAAAATTAGCTGGGTGTGGTGTCGCACACCTGTACTCCCAGCTACTCAGGAGGTTCAGGCAGGGGAATTGCTTGAATCTGGGAGATGAAAGTTGCAGTGAGCCAAATCATGCCACTGCATTCCAGCCTGGCGAAAGAGCAAGTCTCCATTAAAAGAAAAAAAAAAAAAAACACTGAGTTGTAGGTACTTTTTTTTTTTTTTTGAGATGGAATCCTTGTTGCCCAGGCTGGAGTGCAATGGTGCAATCTTAGCTCACTGTAACATCCACCTCCTGGATCCAAGTGATTCTCCTGTCTCAACTTCCCGAGTAGCTGGGACTACAGGTGCCTGCCACCATGCCTGGCTAACTTTTGTAGTTTTAGTAGAGATGGGGTTTCACCATGTTGGCCAGGCTGGTCTCAAACTCCTGACCTCAAGTGATCCTTCGGTCTTCCAAAGTGCTGGGATTTCAGGCAGGAGCCACCGCGCTCTTTACTTTCAATGAGTGAATTGTATGGTGTGAGAATTATCTCTAGTAAAGATTTTTTTTAAGTAAATTACCAGAAAGTTTAAAATTAATCAAATCAAAGATTTTTTTTTTTTTTTGAGACAAAGTCTCTCTCTGTCCCCCAGGCTGGAGTGCAGTGGTGCAATCTCAGCTCACTGGAACCTCCACCTCCTGGGTTCAAGCAGTTCTGCCTCAGCCTCCCAACTAGCTGGGATTACAGATGCATGCCACCACCACACCTGGCTAATTTTTATATTTTTAGTAGAGACTGGGTTTCACCATGTTGGCCTAGCTGGTCTTGAACGCCTGGTCTCAAGTGATCCGCCTGCCTTGGCCTCCTAAAGTGCTGGGATTACAGGTGTGAGCTACCGCGCCTGGCCCAAGGACTGTTTGTTGACCATCTACACAGGCACTATGTAAAGTTCTATGCAAGTTATAAAACAAGCATTATGACACAAATGCTGACCTCAGATTGTTTACAGTTCAAGAGAAGGGGCATACATGAAATGTCTTGTAATGCACATTTGCTTTCTGAATTTGCTCCCCATCTTTGAATCTCCTGAATTCTCTCTTCCAACTGTTTTTGTAATGGCTCTGATCTTACCGTATGTCTTTTATCCTTTAAAAAGCAAACTGTTGCTCCTTAGGCTTTGATAAATATCAGCCCCAACCTGTTACCTTTAACTAACTTAAAGGACCTTTTAAAGTGGTGGTGGCATCTCTAGTAACTTAAATTGTGTTCCATTCATTCAGCAAATACTGAGGTTTCACTTACAAATAACTCTGGCAAATCACAAGACTCTTGGCATTATTATTTTTAAAATCACGACACATACTCTTTTGCTACAATTTAGTCGGGTTGCATGGTGCTTATAAAGTATAGTCTTGAGTTCCTGAATTTTCATGAAAAATACCTTTTAGGAATAGTTATAAGTTAAACAAATACACGTTTGGTATAGAGCTAGCTGAATTGCCTGTAGTCTAGTATGTTGACATTGTTGTAGTCATTAAAACTTTAAGAAAAGAAGGCTGGGCACAGTGGCTTACGCCTATAATCCCAGCACTTCAGGAGGCCAAAGCGGGTGGATTACCTGAGGTTGGGAGTTCAAGACGAGCCTGGCCAACCATGGTGAAACCTCATCTCTACTAAAAATACAAAAATTACTCAGGCATGATGACACACACCTGTAATCCCAGTTGCTTTGGAGGCTGAGGTAGGAGAATCGCTTGAACCCAGGAGGCAGAGGTTGCAGCGAGCTGAGACTGCACCACTGAATAATGGTGGCATGTGCCTGTAAGGTCAGCTACTTGGGAGGCTGAGGTGGGAGGATTGCTTGAGTCCAGGAGTTTGAGGCTGCAATAAGCTATGATCATACCACTGTACTCTAGCCTAGGTGACAGAGTAAGACTCTGTCTTGGAAAAAATAGAAAAGAGAAATTTTGTTTCAGTCATAGTAATTCTATTAAAACCAAGAAGGGATATTTTGTAAAAGGTTATAGTTGATTAATTCTACATCCATCCGTTTAGACAGTTTGTTTATCTTATATACTTATAGGTATATACATGTACATGATGCACACACACATATACATGCTTATGCCTGTGTTATTAGTGCAGCAGATAAATGTTTTCCTTTTCTCGCAGATGCATATGAAACAGCCAAGATGCTGTGTGAACAGTATTACCTGGTAGCTCCAGAGCTGGAAGTTGAAGAATTCAATGGTAAAGTAAAACTAATTTTAATCTTAAATTCAAAAAAGCTGACTAAGAAACTGTTTATACCTGAGCCATATTTCAGTGGGATTCAAAAATTATACTGATATTTCATTTTTCAATATCTTTTTAAAACTTTCTATGCCTTTGATCAGCCAGATATATTATTGTAAGGAGTTTTTAATACAGGAATGTGTAACGGGGTAGACCCGGGAATTCTTGGAACAGAAGTAGTCAAGACAGGATATGTATAAAGGTATAAATAGGCCCTTCTCAAAGTAACAAATGCAAGCAGTCAATAAACATATGGAAAAGTGTTTAACTTCACTAATCAAGGAAGTGCAAACAAAAACACAGAAAAATGCCATTTTTTTTTTTTAAACAGTCTTGCTCTGTTGCCCAGGCTAGAGTGCTGTGGTGCTATCTTGGCTCACTGGAACCTCTGCCTTCCAGGTTCAAGTGATTCTCCTGCCTCAGCCTCCCAAGTAGCTGGGATTACAGGTGCCTGCCCTTACACCCAGCTAATTTTTATATTTTTAGTGGAGATGGAGTTTCACCAAGTTGGCCAGGCTGGTCAGTTCCTGACCTCAGGTGATCCACCTGCCTTGGCCTCCCAAAGTGCTGGGATTATAGTTGTGAGCCACCATGCCCAGCCAGAAATGTTATTTTTGTCTTTCAAAATGACAGTGATTAAAACATTTTAATGCTTTGAATTTGTGCTCATAAAAATACTTTCTCATCAGCACATACATTTTTTGTATAAGCTTAAATTGGTATACCCCTTCTACAAAATGCCAACACTGTTCTGTTTGGCCCAGTAAATAAGTTAATAATGGTCATATTCTTTGGTCCAGCAAATTAAACTTCAGAACATTTATTATAAGAAAACAGAGGCTGAGCGCAGTGGCTCACCATTGTGCCATAGCACTCCAGCCTGGACAACAGAGTGAGACCCCATCTTAAAAAACAAAAATACGTGAAAATAGAGATGCACAGATTTATGTACAAGAATGATGATCACAGTAGTTTTCTTATAAAGTTAGAAAACAACCCAAGTTTTCTACAATAGAGCATTGTTTAACTGAATTGTGGTACACCCATAAGATAGAATACTATGCAGCCCTTTAAAATAATGCTTTAATTGAATAATGTATGGGAAAAATTGAGGTGTTTTAAAAAAATACGGGCTATAAAAGTTTATAATAGTGGAAGTTTATTGGAAAATATTTTGAAGGATTTATACTACCAAAATAGAAACAGCAGCTCTCTAGGTAATGGGGTTACACATGATTTTTATGTTCATCATATGACTGTAAATTTATTTACACATTCCTTTTATTTTTTTATTTGTAAATTATGGAAGAGAAATGCTCATCATAAAAATACAAATACAGAAATGTGAGTGAAAAGGGAAATCCCTCACTACTTTCTCATTCCCATACAGAGCTTTGGTGTTTGCATAAAGCATGTAGAGTTTTAACCGTATTTATAAGGTGTTTTTCACTTCACCTTGAAGACCTTTGCAAGTATCAATTTCATTTAGAGATTATCCATAGTATAGCTTACCATAATTTATTTAAGTATTTTCCTATGGGTATACATTTAGGGTTTTTAGTTTTCCTATATTCCGTATGATGAGCTATGAAGGGATGTGAGAGGTGGGGAGGGTGGAAACATTTGTGGATGTAGGAAAGTATTTCTGCAGGTTAGATTCCTAGATGTAGAATGAAAAGAGTGTGAGCATTTACAATTAAAGATAAACCAGGTCAGGCATGGTGGCTCACACCTGTAATCCCAGCACTTTGGGAGGCTGAGGCAGGAGAATCTCTTGAGCCCAGGAGTTTGAGACCAACCTGGGCAAAATAGCAAAACCCTGTCTCTACACAAAATAGAAAAATTAGCTGTACATGGTGGCATGTGCCTATAATCCCAGCTACTCAGGAGGCTGAAGTGGGAGGATCACTTGAGCTTGGGAGTTAGAGGCTGCAGTGAGTTGGGATCCCATGACTGTACTCCAGTCTGGGTGACAGAGCAAGACTATGCCAAAAAAAAAAAAAAAAAAAAAAAGATAAACCAAATTCCTCCTCAGAAGTACACTGTAAATGTATTTCTCTTATAATGAGATGAAACTATGAAAGGGTTCAGGCTGCTGTTAAAGGACATGGCCCCTCCATTTGACTAGAAGGCATGAGGTCAAAGCTGCTTTCAAGGTCTCTTAGGTTCTCTGAGAAGAGTCATGCCCCCATTGAAAAAATACACTACCAGAACCAAGTGGGCTTGTCTGGTGTGTTCCTGATGAGAACCATCTTAATATTCTCTCTCTCTCTTCCTACGGGCTAGGCAAGACCTGACCTCACATTGACAGGTGGTAACACATTGCACTTTTGCCTGAGTGGCAGCGTCCCTCATTCTGAAGGCCAAAGCAGCAGGCCTGTTCTTTGATTCTCCTAAGTGCCAGCCATGTCAGCACATTCCTTCTCCACTGAGGCTGTTGTGCTGGGCAGCTCACCCACCAGGAGAGGAGCTTTCTGACTCTTTTTGGCATTGTCTCACAAATTACAGAAGCCCCCTTTCTATCATGTTTTGAAGCCCCTTTTCCTGTCATTAAGATAAATGAATGCTGGTGTTTCTACATAGCCTCTAGCTTTATGTTGCCTTGGGTAGTGTAGCGATTATTTTTATGTATAATTTCTTAATGCCAGAGCTCTCTGTGAGCATGATTAAGGAATGTGCTTTTGCCTTAACAAGTTCTATGTTGAGATGCAGGTTGGAGGTTGATCCTGAACACCTTAAGTGGATGTTTTTTTATTCTGGAAGGAGAACTGTCTGGAAATAAAATTCCTTATGTCTAAAGGCATTTCTTAAATGCTGTTTCAACTAATGGCATTTAGAGCAATGATTGTACAAAATAGAGACTTTATTATTTCTGGAGTCTTGAGCACGACAAATCTAGGCCATTTTTTTATTGACTTTTAAAAATGTACCCTTAGATGGACAACTCATATTACACTTAGGTCTTTTTTATTTATTTTTTATATATATATTTTATTGCACTTTAGGTTCTGGGGAACATGTGTAGAACATGCAGGATCGTTGCGTAGGTACATACATGGCAATGTGGTTTGCTACCACCATCCCCCTGTCACCTGTATCTGGCATTTCTCCCCATATTATCCCTCCCCAACCTCCCTACCCCCTGCTGTCCCTCCCATAGCCCCTCCCAACAGACCCCAGTGTGTGATGCTCCCCTCCCTGTGTCCAAGAGTTCTCATTGTTCAGCACCCACCTATGAGTGAGAACATGTGATGTTTGATTTTCTGTTCTTGTGTCAGTTTGCTGAGAATGATGGTTTCCAGATTCATCCATATCCATACAAAGGACACAGACTCATCATTTTTTATGGCTACATAGTATTCCATGGTGTATATGTGCCACATTTTCCTTGTCCAGTCTATCATCAATGGGCATTTGGATTGGTTCCAGGTCTTTGTTATTGTAAACAGTGCCACAGTGAACATATGTGTGCCTGGGTCTTTCTAATAGAATGATTGATAATCCTTTGGATATATACTCAGTAATGGGATGGCTGGGTCAAATGGAATTTCTGTTTTTAGGTCCTGAATTGCCACACTGTCTTCCACAATGATTGAACTAATTTACACTCCCACCAACAGTGTAAAAGTGTTCCTATTTCTCCGCATCCTCTCCAGCATCTGTTGTCTCCAGGTTTTTTAATGATTGCCATTCTAACTGGTGTGAGATGGTGTCTCAGTGAGGTTTTGATTTGCATTTCTCTAATGACCAGTGAAGATGAGCATTTTTTCGTATGTTTGTTGACCTCATGTATGTCTTCTTTTGAAAAGTGTCTGTTCATATCCTTCACCCACTTTTGAATGGCCTTGTCTTTTTCTTGTAAATCTGTTTTAGTTCTTTGTAGATTCTGGATATTAGCCCTTTGTCAGATGGGTAGATTGCAAAAATTTTTTCCCATTGTGTTGGTTGCCAGTTCACTCTAATGATTATTTCTTTTGCTGTAAAGAACCTCTGGAATCTAATTAGGTCCCTTGTCTATTTTGGATTTTGTTGCCAGTGTTTTTGGTGTTTTATTCATGAAATCCTTTCCTGTGCCTATGTCCTGAATGGTTTTGCCTAGGTTTTCTTCTAGGGTTTTTATGGTGTTAAGTCTTATATTTAAGTCGTTAATCCATCTGGAGGTAATTTTAGTGTAAGGTGTCAGGAAGGGGTCCAGTTTCTGCTTTCTGCACATGGCTAGTCAGTTTTCCCAACACCATTTATTAAACATGGAATCCTTTGCCCATTGCTTGTTTTTGTCAGGTTTGTCAAGATCAGATGGTTGTAGATGTGTGGCATTGTCTCCGAGACCTCTGTTCTGTTCCATTGGTCTATATCTCTATTTTGATACCAGTACCATGCTGTTTTGATTACTGTAGGCTTATAGTATAGTTTGAAGTCAGGTAGCGTGATACCTCCAGCTTTGTTCTTTTGGCTTAGAATTGTCTTAGCTATGTGGGCTCTCTTTTGGTTTCATGTGAAATTTAAGGTGGTTTTTTTCTACTTCTGTGAAGAGGCTCATAGGTAACTTGATGGGGATAGCGTTGAATCTATAAATTACTTTGGGCAGTATGGCTATTTTCACAATATTGATTCTTCCTGACCATGAGCATGGAATGTTTTTCCATCTGTTTGTGTTCTCTCTTATTTGCTTGAGCAGTGGTTTGTAGTTTTCCTTGAAGAGGTCTTTTATATCCTTTGTTAGTTGTATTCCTAGGTATTTTATTCTCTTTGTAGCAATTGTGAATGGCAGTTCCTTCTTGATTTGGCTCTCTCTAAGTCTGTTATTGGTATATAGGAATACTTGTGATTTTTGCACATTGATTTTGTATCCTGAGACTTTGCTGAAGTTGCTTATCAGTTTCAGGAGATTTTGGGCTGAGATGATGGGGTCTTCTAAATATAAAATCATGTCGTCTGCAAATAGAGACAATTTG